AAAGTGTTTCAGGCACTAATTCCTCACATGCCCCTGAACGTCCTTCAACAGGACAGATCAATCAGCTCCTGCCACTGTCATCATGGTTCCTGTAGTCCCCTAACCCCCCCCAAGAGAGAGAACCTGTATCTGTCTCAGTTGCTATTCCCACAGTGACGTGCGCATTTACAGCTGTGTCATACCGTCTCACTTTTTATTTGGCAGAAAGCTTGACTCCGCTAATTACTTAATATTAATATTTAAGATTAATCAGAAAAAAGGAGTTTCTTGGCGAGATGACACATCTGCCTATACTCTTGTCCCGGCTAGAGGTGAATTCATTTCCTGCAGAAACGCCATCATTCTCCCAAATGTCATCTGTTCAGGGGTCAGCTTCATCATAAACACTCATTTTATTCATGCGTGATCAAGGACGTTTTGCAGGTGAGGATGAAAATGAACACAAGCCTCCTAAATCTGATCTGTAAATAACCCGTCCTTCTTTTTATGCTTCACTAAAGACAGATGCTTCTGCAGTGATCTTGCCTTTTCTCCACTTTAGCATCATTTATTGCCCATAATAAAAGATAAGGTTGTAAACTTTAATGACACAGAGGGTTAAAAAGTGCATGTAACCCCAATTTTCTTCCCTATGAAATCTAAATGAACCTACAAATCACACTTAAAACTTATACAGAATTTTGGGTGAGTGGTTTTACAGCCCATTACTCCAAAAATAAACCTAATTGGATTAGATGTGTTCATTAAGATTCCCTCACCTTAAAAAGTCAAACTTGATAACTACCTTCCTCCCACAGAAGGTAAAAATCACGACGACAGATTGTGTGTGCTAATTAGCATAGCATACCTCATTAAGGCGTTGGTGTGTACACGTGTGTGTGTGTGTGTGTGTGTGTGTGTGTGTGTGTGTGTGTGTGTGTGTGTGTGTGCAAGTCGGTCGTCAGGAGCTCAGCAGGAGGACTGATTTAAAAAGAGCCTTTAGACGGCGAGCAAGATGTCAGTCTTTCTAGCTGGTGGGAGAAAGCAGTCGGTTTGGCAGCTAAATCGCTGACAGGCTCCAGTAACATGCCAAAAATATGTTCCGCCACCTGCCAAAGGCTGACTATATAGTCTGTCTATATTTAACTGTGAGACCAAAAGAGTGTTTACTATTCTATGAGCGCCATTTTTATGTGGGTGACTCAGCCGTGAGTGAAGACGTTGGTATCGTGTCAGACTATCTGGTTAGAAGATCAGCTAATCCAATGACTCCAATGATGGAGACTAAAAATATTTTTCGTGCAAATAGTGGTCCATTCCAATACGGTACAGACAGAAAAGTCTAATCGACATAGTTCTGGTAGTTGTGTCTCTGTGTCTACCTGTAATGTGCTCTTATATACAAGGTGGCTTCTTTCTCATTTGTTTTATTCATTTATTTTTTAAATGAATAAATTCAGTTAGTTTGTATCCAGTCCCTGCTCCCGCCTGGCCACTTGAATCATCCACGAATGAATTATTCCCCTCAAAGGTCGGCGCTTGTCGAGACGGCTTACTATTGTTCATTTGCTTTGTCCCCACGGGCGGGTCCACTAATCACGTCTTAACCATTTGAATTTGTTTAAATTGATGCAAAATTATGCCATTTTGCATGCTGATGTGACAAGGCCTCAAGTGAGGCTCATTGAAAGTCCAGGTCTGAACCACAAGTGTGGACACAAAAACACAAATTTAAACCTTTTTTTATCCAAGTCAGCTTGTATTACACTATGATCCATCCTTATCTCCTCTTTTGTGACTGGTAAACATTTAAAATCTGAAATCAATAAACATTACCGGGATTTCAAATACAATAATACTTCTAAAAAAGCTTGGATCACTAATATTTTGTGTATATTCCTGCTGCTGCATCTGCTACGATTGACACTTGACCCACATGCATACAATTGACACACACGCATATAATCAGTTTTTGTTGACGGAACAACGCTGCTATCACCATCTGCAGAAATAAAGAATGAAGGGTTGTTTCTGAAGTGGGAGCAACGGTTCTGCTGTAACTGGAGAAGATCCCGTGCACCGTGTGAGTAATATGAACGTAAACTTCTCGTCCTCGTGGTCAAACGATCAAAAGCGAGCCGATGCGGTTTCTCGCGATGTTTCTTCCCAGTTTACACAGTTTGTCACTTGGAAACCCTGAGTAATGGGAATCGTTCAAGGTGCAAATACACAAATACAGCACGGCTGTGCTGTTGTTCACCACAAAGACTCGACAGGCTTTATCTTCTAAAAATGGACTCAATCTGCAAACACACAGAAAAAAACCACTGCGGCAGCGACAGTTCTACCTACGGCCTGTCCAGCAGGCATCTTGAGCGTCATTATTTATAGCTCCTCTGCTGGTTCCCGTTCTCCCTGATAGCATATTATGATTATGCTTCCCCTCTATTTATTAGGTTTCTGGGGCCCCGTGTGTCGACCGCAGCACTTCTCAGCTCCGCCGCAAAGCATAAAGTTAAGCGTGAGGTCCCATACGTAACTGTGAATAAAAATAAAAATAAAATCCTGAGCGCGATTCCGGCACACTGCGGCGGACGACGGCTCCTGCTGGCGGTTTTAAAGGTTGTGGCCATCCAGAGCTCACTCGGTGACCCTGAATGCAAATCCCCTGTAGTCCCCAAAGCCTCTGGTGCCTCCTTAGAGCTCGCCGAGAGTGACCAGTATGTCAGGGCGAGTTTTCCAACCTCTGCGGGGTCCTCGTTACAAGTGACAGTGAAATCCTCAAGTCTCTTTTCAGTTCTTCCTGGATTCCTCATCTTAATACCTGGATGCCTTCTCCTCATCTTAAATGATCCCACACGCGCCGCGGTATTGCCCCGCTTGCTTTCCCAGCTTTCTTACTGGTCGGATGAAGCTCCCCGGATGCGTGCACGCCGGCGCCCTTTTTTCCGCGCCGACCCCTCGGACACAGAGGGTCGAATTACTCTCAGTAGAAAGAGTGGTGCGAATTAAAGATCAATAATTGCACTTGCTTTGTCAGGTTCAGTGTTTGAATCAAGGTTTTAATGGAGATCTTGTGGAAGTATCAGAGGCACCAAGAAGCAATGAGTGGGACCAGATGAAAAATGAAAATCTAAACACACGCAAAACACACACATTTTTTTTAAATTATCTGGAGATATTATTCTTTTACCTTTTATGTTGGCTGCGGAAAAATTGGCTTGGCTTGGAATTCACAGAATAAACTTAAAATTCAGTTTTAATTTTAGTGGCTCTTCTTCCAGTCTATCATTATGGATTTCCCTGCTGATCTCAAAGAGAGCAATGTTGTGTGTTTTCCTGTGACTGTAAAAATGATCTAACCAGTGCTGTGCGTACCGTAGTGACACACTGGCACACACACACACACACACACACACACACAGAAAGAAAGAAAGGGGGGCTGCGTTCTGATCACTTCCAAGCCAAAGCATGCGACATGATATCACATGAACACAGATGCATTACGTGTGTCGACAAGGAGGCTCACCAGTTTCCAACATGGGAAAGACCCCACAGTACACACATCGAGGCATTATGGTGGGTTTTTTTTTTAAGATTGCACTTTGCTTACATGGTTGTATTCATACATGACTCTTTCAAACTTATCGTGACCACAGTGGAGAGACAAGCCCGAATGAAGTGAACACGACGTGGTGATGGATGCGATGAAGAGCGGGGGTCCTGCGCCGCGATGTGAGTGAATGATCAACAAATTACTAACAACGATGCGGAAAATACAGAAATCCACGTCAACAGAATAACAGCTTTTAAGAAGACGCAACGAGAAACAGAAGAAAAAAAAACAGAACAAAAAAAGACAAAACCACAAGCTACTTTTTGTCTCGGCGCCCCAGAGTCCCACTTTGAAGTGGTTTTGCTTCAGAGATTGGGGGCGGTAGGGGGGGGGGTGTTGAGTAGTTACAGGGGTTGACAAGTTAGCAGAGGCCTTCTGTTGTGTACCTTTAGCTAACGGGGGCCCCTTAAGCACAGAGCAATCACAGAAACACAACGAGCAAAGCGGCTGCAAAACATTGATTCGTGTCCTCAAACTTCTGCCCCCCCAGGCTTTGATTTCATGGAAGTCACCCCTGCTCCGTTTTAACCACAATCAGAAGCTCTGAGAAACTTGGGTTTTGAGTCTGTCGTTTGGGAATGTATTTGATGAACGTGGCGGACGATGGTATCAGGAGTTCACTGCTCTGCCGTCACCTTTTTCCGACCATCCTCATAAAATGCAGTAAAACATTCCTGTGAAAATAATATCCCTAAACTTTCAGCGAAACACTTTGTGTGTTATAAAAAGAGGCAAACTAAATGTTGTACTTTCAATTCTGCTTGAAAGAAGCGAGATAAAACCTTGTCAAAGGTGATTTTTTTATTTATTTTTATACGTGCTTATCTGATTCTATATTTCCCAGACTGCCCGTGCAACATTAAAAATATATTATCAAGCCCCCTCAAAGCTATTGCACAAAGGTTCCGCAGTTAAATATTGGTTTAATCTATCCGCATCTGAGATTTTGTATTTTCTGCCTTTAAATACTTTGCAGTAAAAGAGAAAAAAACCTCCACTGGATTTATCTCAAAGAGTGAGAATCAGACTCAAAGAAAATGAAAAAGTTTTTTCCCCCTTGCTTCGGTTTTCCGATTACAACCAATGACTTGACCACTGTCCGTTATCATTGATTGGGAAATGACCTTTGTGGTTGAGTCTGACAAACAATAGCATCCTCAACGAGACCCAGAACCCAAGTCTCCCTTCCGTTGGCTCAGTTAAAGACATTCATATTGTCTCTGGAAAAAAAAACCGAAGCATCGACAACCACTTCAAGTTAGATAACACTGCTAGTCGTGTCACCTGAAGTAGCTCCTACAGCACCGCTACTACGGATGCATGATGAGAGGCCGTGATTAAAACGTTCCAAGCAAAGAATTCAAAAATAAATTGTGCAGATGTTACAATGATGCGGTGGTCTTACCTGGGGACACAGGCGGTAGAAGCCTCCCCCTCAGGGGCCTCTGGGGCGGGGCAGCAGAACTGGTGGAGCACCGTTTGGTTGCTGTGGGACGAAGAGTAGAAAGAGAAGGATGAAAAAGATGTCGTCATATTCTGAAATTTAGTAAGTAAGTAAAACAGCCTTTAAAAGAGCCCAAAGAGAACATATTGTACAACACAACGTGTATATTAATGGGAAAGTTTCTTGTTGTGTTTTTTTTCATTTAATGTGCATTTTATAGAGCTACTATTATTTTTGAGCGAAAACAAATTGTTTACTTTACTGTTGTTGATGGGACTTCAGCAGGGGCTAGTTTAATTAATCTAAAAGTTGAGCTCTGCCCTTTGGCTCTATTGTGTATTTGAATGTTATTTTCCATGTGATATCCGTCCCTTACAGTCGAATACAGCAGAAATGGTGAGTGGTCATCAGACCCAGTACGAGCGGACGACCTTCACATTCCGCGAGTTGAGGAAGTTCAGCCATAAATTATAAATCCATCGATATAAGCCGATCAAAAAACAGCGTACTACAAAGTTGAGTTTGTCCTTGTGGCTACTTCAATGTAGCGATGGAGGAGCAAGGATATACAATTTTGATGTGCATGTGAGAAAGCGTTCACCCCCTCCCCCTCCACCTCCCTCTCTCTCTCTTTCTCTCTCCCTCCACCTGGACGGTGCGCCTCATCCATCTCATCTCTCAGTATCATCCCCTCCCCCCTCCCTGCTCTCCTCCTGTCCCTTTTACACTGATTTTCCATCACTCTCTGCAACTCCCCCCCCCCCCTCCACGCCCCTCCTCCCTCCCTTAATCCGGGTTGTTGTTGTGTGCAAAAGAGCCGTTTGCTCAATTACTCCTGCTGTCAGAAGACGTGGCCGGTGAAAAGGGCATGCCGCTCTCCATATGCCGCGTCCTCGTCCCTGGACGCGGGACACGCAGGAGGACGGAGATGACGGACCTGCATTCCTAGAGGCAACCGGCACTCCATCCTTAACTGTCGCCGTGTAGGACATCTCGCTATCATCTGTCTCTTTCTGCTTCCCCTCCTGTCTGTCCCCCGGGAGAGGACGGGGTACTCGGGGAGACCTCTTTGTCTTCTTACATACCAGCAGTGTGAGTGTTGGCTCACCTCAACAACAGCAACTCGTAACTCAAGGTCTTTTTGAAAAATACCAGCAACAACATTTTAAATCTTTGGGGGCATTGTAATTTTACAGGAGGTTATGTCCGTAATTTTACTGTGGAAAACACAGGGATTCACATCTACTACTTGCCAGGCTTCATTATCTTAGGCCACCGTGTGGAAACATCTCACGCGGATTATCTTCTGCCATCTCTCACTGGCTCACTTCCATCATCACCTGTATCGCTCCACTCAAAAACAGCTCGCAAGGGTTTTGTAGCATTTTTAGTTTACGATGCGACTCTTTTAAAAGGTCTACAGATTTATCAATGTTGAAGTCAAACATCATGTCGTGTATCATGATTCTGTTCAGTCGTGCTGGTATAAGACTGAGAGCTATAATTTCCTAATGGATCACTGTGACGATTATCCACTTTTCCCATGTTAGGGATCACGCAAACATTTATCCTGCCTCAACATCCATTTGTCGCCAGAAAATTAGCAAACCTTTACCTCCGCTTTCAAACACACCACCCTCCAACTGTTTGATGAAGATCAAATTGAACTTACACGACCTTCGTCGCTAATACCACCTATAAAAACAAAAATCTATAGGCTTTTATAAGCTCTTCCGCACACATTGGGCTTGTTTGAACGCGAGTGTAATCTGTGCACCGCGGTTTCGTCGTATTTTGTTTCAACCGCTCGCGTCTAATGTGTTTGTCGATGCGCTCCTCCATGTGTTGAATTCGGATCTGGTGTGTCAATATCTCTCCGGCTGATTCAACTTGCCTCGTGGCAGAAAAACGTCGGTTCACACCGAAGTGATACAAAGCGAAGCGGGCGCACGGTGAGAGAGGGGCTGAGGAGACGGAGAGGGGATCAAGGCTCGCAATAATTGACGGATTAGTTTCTTTGGCCGTCAGGAGAAAAAGAAAATAGCTCTGAAAACGGTCGCTCGTCGAATGACACGCATGCAGAATTGCAGACTGCCCCTGAAGGCCACACACGGTAAGTGCAGACGCAATTGATCTTGCAGGAGGCGACAGCGTTAACAAAAGCGGTGCAGCTGAGGTCTCGCTCTAAAAGGGATTTTTGTTTGTTTGTTGCCATTATATGATTGCCACTTTTCTTTTTATGCAGGATTTGGAAATAAATGCATTTTAAGGACAAGGTCAAAGTCAAACGTCTTTGGGTGTGTGAAATAAAAACATTTGAGTATGATCCAACAGTAAGGTGGGTTGAACGTAAATAACCAACACCCTCTTCCAGTTCAGCATAGAGGGAATAGAGAGCAAGGTATGGAGATCATAACAATCCTTGAGCTTAATCTAAGTAGGCTTGTATATTATATAACTCCCACAAGTCAACTCATCTCATGGCAGTATTACTAGAAGCACTATGGTCACATTAAATCAAAAATGACATAACATTTTTTAAAGTAATACTTTCCATTTAGCAGTGGCTGTAAGTGCAACTTTATTATGTTTCACAGGCTAAAAGTCTGGTAAGGGTTTCAGTGGAAATAAATCCAGGGTACTGTGGGATTTTCTATGTTACGTTAATAATAAATATGATTGTGTGGTGGATTATAAACCGAACGATATCCTTGCACTAAATGAGCACGGCACCAATCTTACGTGCACACACACACACACACACACACGCACAAACACAGATGCACTTTCGGTCGGGAAAGCCAACCATATCAATTCCTCTTAACACACGCGCGCAGTACGTTTTAAGAAAAAGCTTCCTTGAAAGGTTCACGTCAGCAGGGACTCTTGGGCCGTCCCAAGCGGCTTAGCTCGGCCTGCGCAGACGAAACGGAGGGAGCTGGAGTTGGACGAGAGAGCAACCCGGCTTTCCCTGGAGGAAGCTAACAAAAGAGGGGAGGAAAAAAAACTCATTTTGTCCTGGTACTCGATCCCTTGAAAATCTCCTGACGGTGCCACCGGTCAGGAAAGCGGCAACATTTGAGCTTTATTCACACTATCTCGGTCTCACTGTGGCCTACTTGACTCCGCTGCAGCACAAATATGAAACTATTTCCGCATCAAGCGCTGCATTGGCCCTCCACGCAAGGTCACATTTATACAACCGAAGTAGGAAAAGTCATTCGGTAACCTTCGTATCCACCTAAGCGCGGATGCGCTAATTTGTAATTTGTCAAAAGTTGTCAAACCGCCATGCAGCAATGTTACTCTGTGTACTTGTCATTCGTGTGACCGTGATCTCATGCGTGTGCAACACCTCATTTTTGTCCTGCCTGTTACTCATTATTGATTGCAGTCAATGTGCAATCCATAATACAAATTATAATGCAATGAACATGCAATTTACATGTTTGTGATGCCAACAAAACATAAATATACATCACATACACATCAGAAGCTTTGAATTGTTGCTTAAACTTCAGTTACCAGAATTTGATTTCGCAATGTGGCTCCTTACTAACACGTTTAATCACTTCCTGTTTGTCAAACGTGGGCATGAACAGGAACCAGAACTAAACTGCAGCACTACTGAAGACGGTATTTTAATGTTTTCATTGCCCGATCACATCAGTGTGTAATAGATTTGGGGATATTTCATCAGCTACATGAGCTCTGTAGTCAATTTAAAAGACTATCTATGATCAAAATCTTTCTTTCAACATTTTAACATTTTACGCTCTTCTTCAACTTATCTCCCAACTGTTGGTCCCTTCACAATAAAACTGATGCAGAGAGGGAGGGAGCTGAGCCCGGAGCGAGAGACACCACTTCCTAGCGCTCGCTTGTCAAAAGTTCTCCGTCAGCTGAAAGGGTTCAAGACCGACACTGAGCTGGATTTATATCCGGAAATGTTCAGTCCGTTGACAGATGTGTGACAGATATCTGGGTTATTTTTTCAAACTTTGTGCAGAGTTGGAAGACATTACAGAGGAAGAAACAGGGAAGGCAAGTTTTTATTTTGCCACAAAAAGAGTTTTTTAACCATCACTGCGACATTGAGACTGAGATGAGAGTACTTTTTGTGCTACTATTGATCAAAACCCAACATTTCCTGATTTGGCAACTTCGAAATAAAAGCTTTTATCAGCTTCAACCTTTATTCTGAACAATTTCTCAGCAAAAGATCTTATTACAGAGTTAGAAGCGTCTTGTTTGCAGTCATTCTTCAATTAAACCAGCCTACTAATGCTACACAAAGTATCAATTTCAACCATAAGGAAACCTGAAGAATGCTGTGACTAATTTTCCCATGACACCAGCAGTTTTTTCCTCCCCAGCTGGTGCCTCCACTATCGAGCAGTTGTATCAGCAGCACTGCGCTGTGTTGCTGCAGGGCCATCTGCCGAAGACTTGGCGGTGGGTCAAATTGAACAGATATTCGCCACGCTTCACGCTGACGCTTGACAGCTATCAAACTCACGCGGTTGTCTTATATCAGCCAGGGCTTGGCCTGATGAGGAAACTCCCGTCAACCAGAATGGACACATACATTTTGTTCTCTCCTGTACACTCCTGGTTTTTAAAAGAAGTAAAAGAGGGATGCGGGCAGGCAGACGACGGAGGAAGCATGACGAAAATGGAAAGAAAGATGATTTTTCACCACATGATCCACTTACAATAACGTGTTTGCTCCGGTACCCACACGTATGACTCATTCAGTCTTCATGTCCTGCAAATGTTGTTTGCTTCTTTTAGCGTTTGCTCTAAGTTGAATCCTGCAGTGACATCACCGGTGGAGTCATCAGCCCCTCCCCATGGCACCGCGTACCTGATGACGTAATCCTGGCATTAACGGGTTGACAGATGGGGGAGTTGATGATATAACCATAATGGCCATCTGAATGTGATGCAATCCACATTGTGGCCGACCAAAATGCTTATAATATGTACCAAACCCACTAACAAACGACTGGTTCGTCATTTCTACCTGGGGCCGACATGGA